GGGGGGGGGGGGAATTCATTTGTCACCCTTAGGGAGGCATCTTTGGCTGTTTGTTGCTGTTCCTGTTCCTTTGTCACTCGTCGAATATGAACAGTTCCAATAGGGACACCCTTCTTTATTCAACCAATACTCCTCTGCATTAAAATAAGAAAATTGGTCCTTTTGTGGTTGCTTAGCTTTCAATCTTTGTTTTTCCAACTCCTTCGCAATGGTCCTCTGTATTTTTTTAAGACGCCCACAAAAAAAAAAGAAAAAGAGAAGGATAAACTTCCAAAGAAAATTCAAGTAAAAAACGAGTTAAAATAAAAAAATGTTTGCAAGAATAATACTGAGAAACTACATCCATGTAGGATTATAATTAAATAGGATCTATTGGGCGAGCCCCGAGCATTGAGTAAGTTTATTTAGTGTGCATAGTCGGGTGCTTGAAATTTAACCTCACAAAACTAAACCCCACACGTGAATCTTATAGCGTTTTATAAGTGTTCCGCCAAAGGGCGAGTCCCACAAATGCCTTTTGAAACATCGTTTGGTATTAATATTTTTCTCCTTTTTTAGTCCAAGTTTTCTTATCTTTGCATATGGAGAAAAGCTTTTGAAGATAATGAAAGATTCAGTTGCTGGAGAAAATTTTAGAGTTAATTCTTAGGAGATAACACATGAAAACCATTGTATATCCATGAGGAAATCTCATATTTCGTAATTATTGCTACTGTCTGTTTAGGGATTATTTTCTCTTTCTGTTTTTCCCCACTCGGGTTGAATAATGGGATCCTTACACAAATAGCCGGTCATATTTATTATTTATTTTTTATTTACATATACATAGATTACACATTGATTATACACATAAAGTATATAAAATACACATATATTATGCCGTTGCTGGCTATTTTTAGTTTAAGTGAATGGGTGGATGACTATTTGGGTTAATTTTTGTGGCTAGTTTTTGGACTGGTCATTAAAAAATAGCCAGCATTTACCAAGTCAATGAAAACTAGCCACTATTTTGCTGCAACAGAGACCGGTCCAACATAATATACTGGAGTTCGGTGCACATGTGTATGAACTTCAGCATATTATGCTGGACCGGTATACTTTGCTGGCTCCAGTATAATATACTGGAGACTGGAGCACCGGTGCTCCAAACTCCAGAATATTATGCTGGACCGGTATGCTTGCTGGAACTCCAGTATATTATGTTGGAGTTCTAGTGTACTTATGCTGGAACTCTATCATATTATGCTGGAGTTCCAACATGCTTATCTTGGAACTCCAGTATAATATGCTGGAGTTCAAGTATACTATACTGGAGTTCAAGTATACTTATGCTGGAACTCCAACATAATATACTGGCGTATTTTCCGGGTTTTGAACAGTGTTTTCGCTCAAATTTATCTTTACATGAAAAGTGGCTAAATTTCGATTATTTTTGAAACTGGGCTATTTTTGAATGACCAGTTATAAATCTGGCTATTGTTGAATTTCTCCCAAATGAAAGTATATCGGATGGACATTTTCAGAATCACCGTTTAGATTTTAATCCATCAAAAAATCCGAAGTGGTTTAAAATTCTGGCACGAAACCCACCCATTTATTTTAACCCGCAAAAGTTTAGCTCAAGCCACCCATCTATAATTTAGTGGGAATATAAAATATCGCACTAACAACAGAGGTTTATGTTATCAGCTTATGTTTCTCAAAAGAAAAGAGAAAAAAGAAGGGGAAAAAGGGTTACGTACCCTAATTCTTTCTTTGTCCAGCAGTGGGTGCAGAAGAGCTGGTTGTTTATAAATGTCCACACAGTCAAAAATATCGCCATGAATAGTCTGCAAATATAAGTCAATTTCACAACAAAGTTTTCTAAATTAATAATAAAATACTACATATAAATTTTTCTAATTTGAAACATTCAACATATAAAAGATATGGGTACCTCAACTGTAACGTTTGCTCTTCTACTAGACCCGTATCCTTCAACCACACAAAAGGCAATTGTATTCCAAACTAAAATTATGAAACAAACAGTTGTTAGTCTTAGTGCCATCGAAAACAACACACCTTTGTATTTTATTTCTGAAACTATACTTATATATAGACTATATGGTACAGAAGAAATGATTCAATTCTGGAAAGTGGTTGGAATACTTAAATAACATACTTAAACAGACATGTTATGCAATCTCATTATAAATATCTATGATTTATATGCACTTAATCAATTTAAATATCACGTTGTCTAGATTTGGAATAGTATTCATAATAATATTTTTTTGGTTTTTGGACCAAAAAAAAATAATGATATTTTGAATACTATTCCAGATCTAGATAACATGAATATTCTTTTTGGTACATTCCTCTCTTATGCATACCCCTATTTTGTTAACATAATGACGTATATGTTATCCAATATTTAATGTCCTAAGCCGCACTGTGATCCTTTATTTCTTATCATAAAAAATTTTCTAATAGAATGAGAGACAAATATGATTGTTACCATAAAGAACTTCAAAAGTTCGTGGAATCTACTCTTTGTATTTAAAAGAGAAAATCAAGAAGAGGAGAATTACATATATATATATATCTCCATTGTTACAGACAAAGTTCAAGTTTTATGCGTTAATGGTAGGGTACGATGTTTATAATTCGGTTTGGATCGATCTAATTTTAGTAAAAACCAAAATCAAATCAGATGAGTTGGTTTTTAAATTCTTAAAACTAGACCAAACCAAATACAAAACACATTATCGATTTGGTTGTTATCGGCAATGTTTTAAAAGGCGGGGAGACATGGGAATAATACGAAAAGTATAATTTAAAATCATAAAATTATAAAAAATAATTTATTTAAAATATTTATAAAGGATAATTCAACTATAAATAATACGAAAAGTATGACATATATCATAATATGCAAATTAGCTGCAGCGTCATTACAACTCAAACATCAAAAGTAATGTATTCGATACGAAATATTATACGTATCTCTTAAGGAGTAATAAATATTGAAAGAATTTTGATATTATAATTTGATAGTTTTATTAAAATACTCCTTTTATTTAATATACTTTCTATTTGAAAGAGAATTAATATAAAAACATAATTCACAATTTCAATATGATCCTCTAGCATCATTTATTTTTAAGTTTCAACAAGTTAATAAAGTGACACATAATTCACCATACGATACCATGATAACTAATTATTTGTAAATAGTTACTAGCTAATACTGAGCTATTAAATTAATAAGTATTGTATCTCGTAAACGTGAAAATAATAATATTTAGAAAAATAATTATAAAAAAACTATGGACTACTATATAGTAAAGACATAACAAAAGTTAGTAAATAAATACTTTTTAAATGAAAGATTTATTTAAAATTAACTATCATACCATCTTAGTGGATAACGTACGATAAATTTTATTTTAATATGACATAAAATACTCTCAATTTAATAATTTATGATAACGAAAAAAGTAATTTTGAATAGTCAACGATTTATTAAGAAATTTTTAGGATTTACAAGGTTAGTAACATACAACTGCATAACGTACTATTAGGCAAGCAAAGTATGCTGGGCGTTGGGCGTGTTCGGGGCGTAAGCCCCGATAGCAAAGGTGTAAGTCTCACGAAACTAAGCCTCACACATAAGTCTCAATTCTGCCTTTTAAAAGAGAGGTTATCGGTATGGTTCAATTTTTGGTTTTGCAGACATCGATTTTTCTTTCTTTCTTTCTTTCCTTGCAACTAGAAAAGAATTTTCCTTATTTTCCAACTTATAATCCNATATATATATATATATATATCATGAGAAACAAGAAAAAAATGCTCCCAATAAACTCCTTCCAACAATACGAATCCTCCACCTCAATTCCACCAAAACCACCGGATAGTCTACTACACTCCCTTCCGACATCATCATCACCTAGTTCTTCCAATCATAATCCTAACATGTCTACTAGCATGAATATCGACATACATGAACCAATCTCTGCTTCATCTCCCTTACAAAAATCATATCTACAAACTTTAAACTCTAATAAGATTTCTCCTCCACCGCCTATATTTCCCCAATCAATAAATTTTCCTTTGGAGAGTACTGATGAGATTGAGGCTCCTAATGATCCTTCTATTTTCATACCCTTATCTTTGGAAGAAAAAAACAGAATTTACCAACCATGGCAACATGCAGTGATTATTAAGGTTTTTGGTTAAAAAATTGAACATCAATTACTTAGACAAAAAATATACCCGTTATGGAAACCAGCTGAAAACCTCCCTCTAATTGACTTAGGGTCAGATTTTTTCCTACTGAAGTTTCAAAAGGAGGAAAACAAAATTCATGCCTTACAGGGTGGTCCTTGGTTTGTTCTAAATCATTTTCTATCCGTTCGTCATTGGGAACCTAAATTTAAGGCTTCTGAGACAAAATTAACAACCTCTGCTGTTTGGTTATGTTTACCAGAATTGCCTACAGAATTTTACGATTATCAAATTCTCCAAAAGTTAGGTCAGAAAATTGGTAAGTTGTTATCAGTGGACACTTGCACCTCTTCAACAGCAAGAAGACAATATGCTAGATTATGCGTGGAAGTACTACTGGATCAGCCATTAAAGACACACTTATACATTGGTAATCATAAACAAATTATCCTTTATGAAGAGTTAAATTTACTTTATATTAAGTGTGGTCGCATGAGGCATAATCAAAGAACTTGTAACTACTTTGTACAAGTTGATCCTTCCACAGAAAATTCACACAAGGAACATCTCATGGACACAATTAACTCTCATTCCAATACATCTACAACAGCTAATGAAGCATGAAAACTTGTTCAATTTCCAAAAAAATCAATCCTCAAAAGGACTACTTACACAGAGGATCAAGTGACATCAACACATCCAGTGGAGACAAACTTGGTAAGTCAGTCAGGCTAGGGGCGATTAATCCTAATATTCTTCCATTTACTAAGCTAACCTTAACACATTTAAATAATACTACTAATACTGGTTCTAATCTAACCACCTCCCATAACCCTGTTTTAATAAATAATAAATATGCTACCCTATTAGATGATGAATCTGATAATGGTACTCCATTATTAAATCAAATAACTAATGAAATACAACTTACAAAGACCACTCAAGTGCCTAAACACTCGGTCCAATCAGGCAAAGATTCAAACCCTATTTTTCCTACAATACCAAACCCTATCACTATCCATGCAAAGGGACACGACAACACACTCCACATGCACAACATGCCCCAATACCCAAATACACCCTCTTCACCTACACACGAAAACCATCTACTAAACCTAGCAAATTATCCACCTCCTCCTTCGAATATCGGAATACCGCCATCATTTCAATCTACTGTTGCCATGCAAATAGCCAATGATGAGTCCTTCACTTCTCAAATCCAGTCCAATACACCTTCTTCCTATTAATCTTTTCAACCGTCCACTACTACCATTGAGATTGCTCCGCCTATACTTACTAAACCAAATATAGTTCCTAACACTTTGACTAATCCACTTCCAGAACCTTTCATTGTAGAAGATGTTTCCCTTCAATTTCTTCAGTCATCTACGACGACCACGAGCACAAACAAGGCAGAACACTCAACATCTTCAACACAATCCCAACTCATCTTCCCACCCTCCACCACATCTGATAATGGAGCCCAATACGATAATATACACGGCTCAAACCCCACATGTACCAACACTCCTAGCATCTTGGCTAGAGGCGGGATTACACAACCATGCACTAACATTCACCATGGAAGTCAATCACCAAGAGGTGACAATACTAATCAATCATCCAAGGGACTTAGCACAAATAGTAGTGGAAGGAATGCAATTGGGAACGAACCTTTATACTCGTTACCATTGGTTCATGATGCAGGCACCCCACCTTGCACCATACCAACCTCTACCTCTACCCACTCCATTTTGGGATCACACACATCTCCACCCAAATCTCATACAGATGCCATTTTATCATCCACCTACTCCAAACACCCCTTGGATTCAACCTTACTGGGATCCACAACCCCACACACCTCTCTTGAGACCAATAACCCCCATCATCACCACCACCACCACCCCTCCATCTCCACAACATCCCAATCAACTAGAACACAAAGTTTAGGGTGTGAATTTTCAGGCAGAACTAGATGCATCAATCGTATAATATAGAGAAACACGCCCAGTCCATGCATGTCTGGATGGCATCAAAGTCTTTGTCCAGAAGGAAGAGTTCGAAAGAAAAATCTTCATAAGGTGCCCCCAAAATCTGCTTTCAACCTCATTCCGCTTGAGGCCAATAACAAATCCAGCGGTGGGGAAATATGCGATGTTATTCCTTCCCACATTGAGGCTTCGTCCAAGAGAGTCCAGTAATGGTGAAAATGAGTCCAATTTAAGTCATATGAACTTCATAATTTGGAATTGTAGGGGTGCTCAATCAGTTGAGTTCAGAAGGAATTTTCGATCTTTATTAGACTATAATAGACCTGCAATGGTGGTTCTACTAGAGACTCACAGCCAATCACACCAAATATTGAAAGATGATTTTGAGTTCAGAGGTATGATTGAAGTTTCTGCTATAGGGCACTCAGGTGGGATTGTTATCCTATGGAATTCAGCTATTCTAAATGTGGAGCAGATGGCCACCTCTACACAATAGATCCACTGCCATGTTCAGGCCTTTCCTTTACCTTTTACTTTTTTATTTAGTGCTATTTACGCAAGTAATGACTTAGCAACTAGACTAGCATTATGGCATAATATCATGTGTATCTATGATAATTATAAGGGACCTTTGTTGATTGGGGGGGGGAGGGATTTTAACGAGATGTTACATGCAGTAGATAAATTTGGTAGCTTACCTATAAATAATTCTCGAGCAAATAAGTTATTAGATTGTTTTAATTACTGCCATTTAACAGACTTAGGATCTAAGGGTCGTCGTTACACTTGGACAAATGGTAGACATAATAGTGTTAACATTCTTGAACGTATTGATCGTATGTTAGCTAATTATGGTTGGATCACTAATTATCCTGATGCTTTGGTAACCCACCTTCCACGAACCCACTCTGATCATTTGTCCAATTAAAATTGAGCTACAACACTGTTCTTTGCCTAGGAAAATTTTTTTTCGCCTAGAAACTATATGGACTACCCACCCTTCTTTCTGGACAGTAATTGAACAGGTTTGGATGTACAAACTATACTTACTTCCTGCTATTGATCAATTCATGGAGACAATATAAGCTTGGAATAAAACTACTTTTGGTAACATTTTTAAGCGTAAAAAGAAGTTATTGGCAAGACTTGGTGGTCTTCAAGCATCTATTCACTACCCAACTAGTATTGTTTTACAAAATTTGGAGAAAAGTTTAACCTTGAAATATAATAAAATTCTCCAGCTTGAAGAGGATTTTTGGAATTTAAAATCTAGAATTAACTAGTTGAATAATGGTGATGCTAACACCAAATTTTTCCACCTAACGACTCTAAATCGTAGAAGGCATAATCGCATAACTGCTCTTCAAGATTTAGGAGGAAATTGGATTACTGACCCACATAAAATTAGAGATGATATTACACAATACTACTACCATATGTTTACAACTCAAAATAGAAAATCTACTAATGGCACCTTTTTACATTCTTTTAATATATTAACTCCAAATGAGCAATCTTGTTTGATAGCTCCATTACAGGATCATGAAATTCTCACTGCCATCCATTCCTTTCAACCTTTTAAGGCACCTAGACCAGATGGCCTACATCCTTTATTTTATCAAAAATATTGGCATATCATAGGGAACTCTGTCAAATATTTTTGTCATAAAGTTTTCTTGGACCATCAAATTGATCCTACTATAAATTCAACCTTCATTTGCTTAATCCCAAAAATAAGAATGCATCCACTATATCACAATTCCGACCTATTAGCCTTTGCAATACAATCTATAAGAATATAACAAAAATAATTGTTAATAGACTAAAACTAGTTCTGGAACACCTTATTCATCCAACTCAATCCAGTTTCCAGAAAAATAGACGAGCAGCTGATAATGCTATTATCGTACAAGAAATTATCCACAGATTCCACAAGATGAAGGGTAATAATTTAAATATGCTTCTCAAGCTGGATCTTAAAAAGACTTTTGATAAGTTGGAATGGCCTTTCATTCACACTACACTACACAACCAAAATTTTCCTCAAACTTTTATTCAATTAATAATGTCTTGTATTACAATTACTACTACAACTATTCTAATTAATGGTACACCTACTGATTATTTTACACCTACGCGGAGAATTTGACAAGGGGATCCTCTCTCACCATATATTTTTATTTTATGCTTGAAAATGCTATCAAGGAAAATAAATTCTGAAGTTGACTATAACATTTGGCATCCAATTTCCATAGGTAGAAAATGACCTCAATTATCACATCTATTTTTCGCAGATGATATTATTTTGATAATAAAAATTACACCTACCTCATGTCAATCCATAGATGACACCATCACTCAATTTACTCATCATTCTGGGAAAACTATTAACTTTGAGAAATCTAGGATATTCTTTTCTAAGAATTGTGCTGATAATATCAAAGATTCTATAAAAAAAAAAATTCACATGAGTGAGGGCAAAAGTTTTGGGAAATATTTAGGGTTTCCTATTTTTAATTCAAAGCCTAGTAAAAGAGATTACCAATTTTTACTGGACAATTTTAAATCTAAATTGGCAGGTTGGAAAACATATTTTTTAACCAAAGTAGGAAGGAAAACTTTAATACGTTCCACTTTAAATAACCTTCCTAATCATCTGATACAATATATCACACTACCTTCTTATATTATTTTCTCCCTTAATAGATACCAACGAAATTTTCTATGGTCATGCTAGCCTTGCATGGAGGCTTTTCCAAAACCCTAATCATCTGTGGGCATAGGTATTAATGCATACTTACCTAATGCCATCAACTTTAATAAAAAAGAATGCTTCAAAAACCTGGTTAAACATTCTTAAGGGTTGGTCCAATTGTCGTTTAGGTTATAAATGGAACCTGACGATTGGTAAACACGTACAATTTTGGAATGAACCTTGGATAACTCATAATTCATTATTTTGTAATTATATTTCTGGACCCCTACTCCAAGGTGAGGACAACAAATTAATGTCTGCTTACTATTTCAATCACCAGTGGAACCTACATAAATTACCATTCGTAATACCTCCTTCTTTGGAACATGCAATCACTGATATTTATATACCAATGGTGCCCATCGATTATGACCAACTTTATTGGGCAATTACACCTAATGGGCTATTCTCTGTTAAATCTATGTATCATTCTCTCATAACTAGAATCAATCACCCAAACACTAATAATTTCATAAACTATAAGTGGATTTGGAAGCTTCAAATACCACCTAAACTTTCTTTCTTTTTATGGTTATTATGCCATGAAAGACTTCCTATAGCCACATATTTACATAAATTAGGAATTATATATTCATCCCTGTGCACACAATGTCATTTGGTCCCTGAGAATATAAATCATATTTTCCTTGAATGTCATAATGCGAATGCACTTTGGACTGCTCTTAATATATCTACTACACAAATAATTAGTCCAACACAATTTGATAGTACCTCTTGCTGGTATAATTTTATACATAAGCAGCGTTTACCTTCTTTTAACCGCATTCCATTTTCCATAATCTTGCCTTTTTCTTTGTGGCAGTTATGGTTTATACGAAATAAAAACCACTTTGAGCGTCACCATCTGCAATCCAGTATTTCTTTACTATACAAATAGGTTGCTGAATTTTATTATCTCACAAATCCTACAAAAATAAATAATTCATTACTGCCTCTTTATATAAAATGGCATCCACCGAATGGACAGTTTTTTAAATTAAACATTGACGGTTCTTCATCGACCACTTAACATAAATGTGGTATTGGTGAGTTGTTTCGTAATCAACAGTGCAAATGGATTCTAGGGTTTGCAGGGAAAACACAACATGGCTCCAGTGTTCAGACAGAATTGCTAACACTTCTCATGGGGCTAAAAATTGCTATCCAGCACCAACTCACACCACTGATCATCGAAACAGATGCAACTGCAATACTTGGTATGCTAATTACACATATTATACAATACACTAATTTAATCAATGATTGCAGGTTATTACTCCAATAGCTGGATAATCCAAAATTGCAAAGCATCTACAGAGAACAAAACTATGTTACAGACTGTCTAGCAAAATATGGAGCAGTGCATGCGGAGTATAGTTGTGTACTTTTTGATATTCCTCCACTTTTTGTCA